TCAGTACTACAGTGCAAACTGTTGCACTAATAATTGGTGGTATTTAACAGGGGAATAACCCCAAAGAAACGCTGTTTTAGAAAGCAGGACATATACAAAAAGAAATTCTCAGAGCACTGCATATTTGACATGCAAGGAAGTTGGATATTTAAAATGCATGAGACAGACACACTTACTATGTTGTAAAGTTGCAATGAAGTAAGCAAACAAAAGCACCTTTTCCAGAGGCTGTCTAGAGAGCAAAGAGAAAATTAAATTAAGCATGCACTATATTCACAGCTCAGACTGTAATACTGTAAACTGTAAACATACATTGAATTTCAGGTAGAGTTTTAAGGTGAACAAACTTCATTACGAACATTAGATTAAAGTAACTCTTAAACCGATATGCCTATGACAAGCCCAATACTCAATAGCAGAATTTCATTGGGATAAAGAAAGAAGCTTCTCACTGGACCAAAATTCTGATTTCATCTAGATAAAATGTTGTTCTGTGAATTTTGATTTTTGAGCGTTTGTGGAAATCTAGTATAGTAACACACACCGCATTATGTCTCAACAATTAGTAGATCTCTTGGAATAAGGAGTGCCTGAACATGCAGAAATAAAGTAGGTTTTACAGAAATTATGCTATAGGGGGCGGTGCGGTGGCTCTGTCTAAGGATCTGTGTCTGTGGCTAGACGGTTGTCGGTTCATATCCTGTGGCCGGCAGAGGAATCCTACTCAGTTGGGCCCCTGAGCAAGGCCCTTAACCCCAACTGCTCCAGGAGCACTGTATCTACTGTATGGCTGATCCTGTGATCTAACCCCAAGCTTCTCTCCCTGTCTGTGTGTCTCATGGAGAGCAAGTTAGGGTATGCGAAAAGACAAATTTCTAATTCAAGAAATTGTATATGGCCAATAAAGTGATCATATCTTATACATACTGTATTGACTATACTAGAAAGAGCACAGATTGACAAAATATAAGGTAGTGTAGAAGAGACAGCATTTGGAAGCAATTGTTTTTTTGGAGCAGAAAGAATACTATAAAACATTTTTACAAGCAAAACATTCTTGGCAATAAAGTCCCTAAATATCAGCAAAATTAATGTGCCATGAAATATATAAAGCAGAAAACCGCATGACACACATTAAAAAAGACACAAACATACAATACGTTGCTGCAAAAATGTACCTTACTAACCATTATTGTGAAATGTCAGAATCTGGAGTCTTAATGGGCTAAAAGCAGGCAGAGAAGCCTGAAAATTAAAGATTTGAAAGATAGAGATAATACTGAATTGGTGCTCAATCTTATTTGGTGCAATTTCTTCCCCTGACATATAGCCCAGTAAGGCTTGCCTTGCACTATAATCTGTGGCCATCAGTGTCCTTTGGGCTCTGGACGTTTCTGCTTTGATATTAATTCATGCCTCCATAGTAAGTTAAAACACTTTTTTATTAGATCTCAAACTATAACACCTGTTTTCCATCAGAAATAACTTCTACATGACTTAATCTACACCTTATGGTTAAGAAGGTTTATGAAAACCATGTGTTAATCAATTACTCTCATTAATGCATCATCATGCATTTTGCATAATCAACATATGCTAGTGGACATATTGTATTATTGGCTTTATGCACTTTGTACTGTATGCTTTAAGATGCGTCTTATTATGTTTTGTAATGACAACCTTTAACTTAGCAAATATTATATATATATAAAATGCTGCCAGTTTCCAGTCATGCCCTATCTCATAACATATTTTGAAAGCATATAATTGCCTTATGCATCATTCATGATCACTTTTTTTTCAAGTCTTTAAGTGCCTCATTTTCAAAACTGTGAAATGGAATTAGAAAAACAAGCTTTTGCTTAATTTGCATGTGTAAAAATCCATAGATAATCCCCTTTGCACAGAAATTGATCTTTCTTTTTATATACAGCACAGCTGGCTTTAACCGTAACAGTTTCTTTCCAGAATACTGTGTATTCTAGTCTATTGAAATGTCGCCTAGCTGAATCCAGGGTTGCATTTTTATAGTATTTGTAAGATCCAGATACAATTAATGTTTAATTGACAAGTTTTAAGACATGAATACGTGCTGCAAATGCTGTACACAGTTGAAATGCTCTTAAATTAAAAATGACTCTAAAGAACAATCTGACCACATACAGTACTGTACTCTTCTGTATTTTTGTAGAAACATTTCACTGAATAATAAGAAAAGAGGCAATACTTACATCATTTTACTTGCAGGTAAACATCCCTTTCCAGAAGTTAGACTTCACTGAAAAACAGAGAAAGAGTAATAATTCAACAAATAACTGCAAGGAAACCTCAAATGCTTAAAGTAAATATACAGAAATTATTTCTTTAGAAAGCCAAGACCATTTAAACAGATAATAATATTGACAATTTAATTAACATAGTATATACTGTACAGTATGTCACATCTGCGCACATCGAAGAAGGAACAGAATCAAGATTCTACATTTCATCAAAAATTAATGATTCATGACAGAGTTAATAAAATCAATTTCACTCTAGACGAACGCTATGACACAGTGACCAGCACAATTTATTTGTGCTTCTACAAAATAAGCACCGCGGTTGAATACATTCCAAAAGATGAGATCCTATCCCCAAGTCACTGTTTTACAGTATACTTGTCCTATGAGAATGTAAAGCTTGCGTTGACATTTTCTAATGACACTGGCTATAGTCTTCCTTGCCTACAGAGTACAGCCCACAGCTCTTTATATATAAATCTGGGAAAAAGTTCTGAAGATTCTAAGAAGACACAAGTATACTGAAAAGTGTAGAAAGCCAATGCTCTTTTAAATAATGTGGGAGAGCTACAGTGCTATCACTTTGGAACTAAAAATCCCATAATGCACTGTTAATGGGTTAAGGAAGGGGTGGGGGGGGGTAACAGCACACCTTTTCTCATTGAACACACTGCCAGAATCTACCTTCACATGCTCAAATCATTATGTGTTATTAAAACGTTACAATAAGAATAGTAATAAGGGATGAGTACCAGGCAAGTGGCTTTTCACATCTGGGGAATATTTTCCTGGAAGGCTTTTCTGAGTGCATGCATATATTTCATATTAAAAATTCATCCTATATCAAAACATGTTTGATAGTACTCTAAGTACTCTGCAATGTTCCTAACAAAAACAAGGTATACAACTCAATAACAAAACTAAGCTGAATGTTATGACTAAATACCAACATATGTCACGTTTAAACAGTGGATTAAAAGCCACTGAATATTACATGTATGTGAAGTTAATATGCTGATCTCTGTGAAGTTTTCCATTGCTGCATTGAATTACCTGAAGTACCATATGGTTACTACAAAGATACTGTTCAGGTTAATTCTCCTGATAGTGCTATGAAGAAAAATGCACCATGAACCCAAGGTTGTGATGACGTCAATTCCGTACTGAATTGTTGTATGCATTATTCATTATGTAATTATTTGTAGGCAACATGACAATGAAGAATAGTGAAATTGCAATGCAGAACTGCTTAGGATGGTTAAATTTAAAAAAGTGGTAATGAATGTGGTAAAATAGAAATTGTAAGCTAAAGGCACGCTTCTTAATTTAAAGGAGGTGCACACAATGTAAGACTAAATAAAAGCCATAATATGGCATTAAACATGTTTTAAGAAAATAAAGCATGCAGACTTTAGATACTGATCAAGCAATTTGGATGCAATGTTGACTAACTGATCATTCATGACTAACTGCAATGACTGTTGTACAAACATAAAATCACCTCATTAGTGAGAGAGTTGAGAGTTGATTGGGCACACATAATGTGCATATTGTCAAGCTTTGTGAAACCCATGAAAAAAAGCATGCAAAAAGAAACTTATCTGATCCACTTATCAAGAAAGCAATTGTACCCCTTGTATGATGGAGACTCGACTAAATCACCTCAGGTTGAAACACCAGTAGCAGAGTTTTGTCCCCTGTAGTGAGGAATCATGGATTTTTGCAGAAGAACCTAATGGATATCAGAGAGCTTGGCACAGGTGTGTAGAATTCTGCACAAAAAATCCACTGACAGAGAAGTTCAAACGTGAGTCTAAGCAGAAGTGGCCAGTCATTACTGAACTCCACTTGTAGCAATTGATAGCAACCTGAATACATGATGATCCATTGATCAATAGGACCTCACTTGCTGCACTTCCTTAAGGCTCATTGTGATGCAACAACATTACAGCAAGACAACACATGTTCTCATGCGGCTCGTGTGCCAACAGCTTTTTAATTCTAATTGTGTGTGTAGAGGGAGTTGCGCTACTGGATTCCCAACTCCTTAGAACTAAACAATTGTGGAATGAGCTGGGATGATGTGTGGCAACAAGGGCTCAGAGACCACACTTGTTCCAGCTGTAGGAGATGAATGGAAACGAGTCCCGCAAGACAGCATCTGCAAGCTGGTGTACAGCACGAGTCGCACAGCTTATATCACTTCCAGCAGTAGTCACACATTTGCTAGCTTGTGGCATTTACAGTAGACCTCCACAGTTGACAAATGTTAATCAGGATAATGAATTAACCTATGTCATGTTTGTTCAATAAAATCTCAGTTCACTTGTGACAAATAAAATGCCATTTTCCTGATTGCCACATCTTCACAAGGCTAAGTGGTTTGTTTTTGATGCTCGGTATAATTCAATTTTACATTTCCTTGCTTGCATTTCCAGAAACTTCAAGAGCATTAGACTAGAGAGTAAGATAACATTTCTATCAGATGAAGAATAACAGCTATCGTGAAGTAAGCACTGTACTGTATATACAGTAAGACACAATGTTGTTAAAAGGTAAAAGTGGTGATGACGGAAAATCCATATAAAAATCATCAAACTAGTAGAAAAAGATAAAGACACAGGACTCAACAGGAATACACTGCAGATTTCTTAACGCTCCTTAAATTCTATTTCCCTACATTGTTTACATGAGCTGTTTTGTTAGAGGTAAGGTTACACATAACTGTTGCCGTTTAAGTATTTTGAACCGCACATGCTCTTTTATAGTAGACTCCTGGGAGGACTGATCGAAATGAGGATCACAAATCTCCGAGTCCATTAAAATATAATTGTTTACAATACATTTAACTGTACGTTATGATTTCGAAATGTATTGCTTAAACAAAATGACATAATTTTAGAGGACGACAATGAAGGAAAGCTCCTGCACTACTATTTATCAGTAGTGTTTGATCTCTGCGTGTCCTTTTAATGATTTAAAAAACAGAATACTAATTCGGTCTAAAGCGTACAGCTGGCAAAACACATTTAAATGCAAATCTTCCACTCGCTTCTACTTCATTTAATAGTATGATAGAAAAATGTAGTGGTAAAAATAATGGTTTACAGCGCGTTTTTATCTTGAATACTTCGCAATCTGAATTTAATGCGCATTGCTTGCAACCAATACTTAATTCTTTCGATCATCTGTTTAACTGCTCTTGGTTTAAAAACTCAAGATTTCTCCGTCCCTCTCTAACCCCCAAAAATATCAATAAGCGACTACTGTAGCACAAGTTAGCAGTGCGCTGCAAAGTGTAACAAACTAACAAACATTAAAGACAAAGCCTTTAAAAACATATGTGCTACAATTACATTTTTAAACATAAAATCTGTCATAAAAGTGTTATCTAATTACAATGCTTCCTACCTGTTCGTTAGCAGGCGCTTGTCTCGGCAGGGGGAAAAGGAGATGCAAGTTACCGCGCTGCGCAAGCCAAGCTCAGAAGGCGTAAACAATTCAACTCTGAAGAAATGAATGGTGAAGTAACCCGGCTGGGGGTGGGTAAAAGGTTCGGAGAAAGCTGCACTTACACGGTTGGAGTCACTATCTTGAGTCATCAAGGCTCCAAAGGAGACCCTACTTCTGTGATTGTGTGGAAAAGAATGCTTGATCGAACTGCTGAATGCAAAAAAAATTAACAGCTTCATTTATGCACCCAATTATCCCTGTTTTCCACAGCTTAAACTTTGTTCCATAGAATGAGTGGAAAGAACAATAATCAGAAGATTGTTAATAATTGCACTTGTGTGATTGCACGTTGTAGCCCTCTGGTTTTCTCCTTTTAAAATGCCTGCTAATAATAGGAATAAATAAGGAGGTTAAACTACTGTACGTGAAGGAGGGACAGGGGCCTGGAAAAATAATATTACACCAATTCATCAAGCCACCTGGTATATCAGGGCTCATTTGGCATTAAGATACAGATCACCTCCCTGGGACCTGGATTTTGATGAATTCTCCAGCAAGTGGAGGGTAGGGAATTCTCTACTGTCTGGGGGGTAGGGAATTCTCCACTGTCTTGGGTGTGGCACTGTTCTGGGCTAAAGACAGGGCTCAGACAATATAGGGAGCACTGTATGTCTTGCAACATGTTACCAAAGACAGATGTGCTTTCTTTCAGCATCCCACTCGAAGTAATATGCAGTACGATTTGAAATGTGCACACAAACTTTATTGTTGTACCTTATATCTCCCAACTGTATGGTAGGTAGGTGGCTATAATTGTGCAGCAGATGATGGTTTTTCAAGAGCTCACATAAAAGTGCTGGTAATATATTGTACAGAGGAGTACATATTACATCTCTAAAGTGGTCAATCTTTTTTAATAATAAACTGAAAATAAAATCCTTAAAACTGTTAAATATGTTTGCTGCTTTCCCACAGACAGCTTTTAATGGATGCCTTTTAGGAGGCTATTGTCGTTGTTTAGCTTTTTTGGATAAACTGTGCAATCCTGGGGGTGGAATGAAAGCTATCCTTTTACACTATCAATTAATTATAACAAGTCTCCTGTGTCCATTTCACCCACTCATTTGCCATTTGTCTGTAATATTGCTCCCTCCTAAGTACAAAATTCCTGTACTGCAGTAATGTAGTTAGTGGAGTACCACAGGGGACTGTATTTGGATCACTGCTGTTCTTAATTATCATACCAATTACTGAAATAACATATAATTAATAAACTAGTCATGTTTGCAGATACAAGAACAGGAGAAAAGACAGTATCAAACACTATAGAAGCCAAAACAAAAATCAGAGAGAGATTAAAGACTGACTACCACCTAGCAGATTACATTTAATGTAGATAAGAATAGATGAGAGTTACATGCAAGTCACAGTCAAACTATAAATACAATAAGGGTGTTGCCATAATATATAGAATATATAAATATAATAAGGTTAACACAAAAGACCTAGACCTCTAATGTAAATAGAGGTCTTCTAAACAATTTAC